AAGTAAGTCTTGTCTGATCAAGGAGGGCTTCCTGCTTGGAAAAACAGGCTGCCTATGATGCGAAAGAAAAGAGACATTGGCTAGTAGGTGTGTCCCTCCCTTCCTTCCCACTCCCAGTAATGTGACTGAAGAGATTTCTCCAGACAATCCTTTCTTGGAGAGCAAGGGCATTTTCCCTTGCTCAGATAGGACTCTGGATCCAGTTGATATAGTTGCAGACCTTGGTAAACACACTGGGATACAGTGAGTGACCACAGAGCTTGCCTGTAAAAGATGCAACCCCTTGGATTTTTCCACCACAGACAAGAGGTCTCCCAGAATCACCCTGTTGAGAGAACAGAACACGTGGTGAGACATGGTCGAGACATTGCAAAGCATGGTTCGTTGGCCACAATCAATCCAGGAAGGGAAGCCACGCTGGTGTTGTGTTGTGATGGGGGAGGGAAACAGCCATTTGGTAAAAATTGGCACTTGCATAAAATGTTTTGCATTAATACATTAAAGCTTTTTTCCTTCCTTGTTAGGCTGACTTCTCCTGTCATGTATCTGTGTAGCACAAAGGAAGGTGTGTACTCACAGAATTATACAGAATAGGTATTTATAGTCAGAGGAAGATGCAACTCTCCATATTGCATTGTAAACTACTGTTCTAATGCTTCACAAAGCTTGTGTTTGTTTCTTTGTTTTAAATCACTGAGTGGTTGCCCTTCTGCCCTTTAACAGTCCTGCAATTTTCTCTATCCTGCTCAGGTTGTTTTAAGAGCTGTTGGTTCAGGCAGGTTCCATCTGCGCGGAACAGCTCTCTGGTCATATTTAAGATTTTTTGTCTTTGGGACTGTGCCCTGTGAAGGAGAACTACAGCATCACAACACAGTTGCAACAAATCTATTTTACAGAAGATAGTCCTGTTTGGAGAGAGACCAGAAAGGACCTTGAGGTTGCCAGTCTACAGTAGCCTCCCTGGAAGCAAGCTGAATAGGCACCACAAATTTTTCCCCGCTTCACCTGGTCAATCGTCTCCATTCTGGTGAGTTGTATGTCTATGCATTTTATATTGACTGCATGGGTTCCCTTCACAATGCCTTGTCTTTGACAGGCCTGCCCAGCTGAAGGCTGTGGCATCCTTGATTGAATGGAGTCCTCTTATGTTAGGTATTCCCCTTCCCCTTCAGCCTTCAACCTTCCCTGACATGGTTGCCTTCTCCTGTGAGTCTTGCCTTCCCAGGATGTGCCTGCAGTACAGCAGCTTCGGTTTCATCATTTGCGCTTGCAGGGCGAGTCGTGGCTTGATTTGCTCTAGGACCCACCTGTTCAGCTCTGTGCTGTAATGTCTGTTACTCTGATTTAGCAGAGCCTGCCAGTTTAGCAAGGACTAAGCTGTATTTTTCATATGCCAATCACTGGCCTGCTGGACTTGAAGAAGTCCAGAGTTGAACATAGCTTGGGCTTTGCCCATGGCTTTGGGAGCATCCCTCCCTCCCTCAATTCTTTGTCCACAGGTGAAACCTCCTTACCCTGCATACGCCTTTCCCTCCTTCTGGAACTCCTGCACATAACATGTTCTCAGTGATGTTCGGCTTTGTGAAAGCAATCTTGCAAAAGTTATTATTTATAGTACTGATGGAAGCACAGAGAGAAATTTAGGAAAAGGTTCTGAAAGCAAAAAAAAAAATAAAAAAATAAAAAAAAGAGATAAATTGATCTGGCAAGAAGCTTGCAAGGGATTGCTTTTCTTGGAAATATCTGTGATTCTTTTAAACAGTCTGGTCATGTGCAAATGCCTCTTTCAGAGTTTTTGGGGCCTCATGCAGAGTGGGCCCCCTGAGGCTGCAGGCTAGAAACCCTCCTGCAGCTCTTCCTCTCTTCTGACTTGCGCTGTTCAAAGAGCGCCATGTTGGAGGCACCGCAAAACAGCGTGGCCGAGTGTCCTATGCTCAGGAGAGCTGGTTTCTGTCTCAAGGTGTCCCTATCTGCTGTGCTGCTTTGACGATAAGGAACAATCAGGTGGGAAAGCAGGAAGCCTTGAGGTTGCCCGTAAGCAGAATTAGGACAGCACGTCCGGTCACACGCTCCCTGGCTTGCATCCTGCACTGAGCTGCATCGTGCTCCTATTTAACTGATGGCAGCCCTTTCCAAAAAGGCACCTGTGCATATATTAGCACATGCCAAGGCATGCAGCTCCAAGTTTTTCTCCTTTTTTGCATTTTTTCCCTTGCTTTTGGTGAAGCATTTCCTTCTTTATGGTTATGCACATGTGTTCACCCCACTGATCTTGCCCTTTCCTACAGCTGGCCTACTTGCCCATGTACCCCAAAAGAAGTGAGGGCAAGGCATGCTTTGTACAGAATCAGCATTTGAAAAGGAACTGGATGAAACTGGCAGGGCCTCCTCTGGAAAAAATGCAACTTTTCCTTTAGAGAGTTCATCCCCCAGAAAGGTACTTAATATAGCAAAGGGTGTTAATTTGAAAACAGAGATCCAAAGGCAATGCACATAATGTGCATGACAAAACAAAACAAAACCCAAAGCACAAGAAAGTGATTACAGCAGCAAAATTCTGAAAAGAGACAATAAAACAAAGCATGGAGCTAACTAAAAAGTATTTTGAAAGAATATAATTTGAAATGCAAGTTCTTATACAGCTATGGTGTGGAGAGCCAGTGTGGTGTAGTGACTAAGAGTGTGGGACTGGGACTCAGACGATCCGGGTTCTAGTCCCCGCACAGCCATGGAGCCAACTGAGTGACTTTGGGCCAGTCACTGCCTCTCAGCCCAACCTACCTCACAGGGTTGTTGTTGTGGGGATAAGATGGAGGAGGAGAATGATGTAAGCTGCCTTGAGCCCTTAGTAGGAAAAAGGCAGGATATAAATCGAAAAATAAATAAATAAATAAATATACTATCTCCTGCCTGTGTCAGTGAATGATAAAGAGCACTTGTTTGATGAAACAGTCCCCTTTGTGCCTGGGAAGTTAGTCTGTTGAGCATTCAGATGGTGCATCTGGACAGCCATGTGTCCCTGGCATCCTTGCGGATGCTCCTCAGGGTCCCAGCCTTGCCCTTTTTTTTCATGTCCTAAGTTCTTTAGTAAGTAAACAACAAGACTGCTATGCTGCAAAGGGAACACTTGCTCTCCCGTGGCCTCTGTTTGGATTCCAAGACTGGTTTTGTGGTTTGGAATTCAAACCCCACCCTTGCTTTGTGCTTCAGTTCCTGGTCACCTCATTTACTTGAAATCCCACCAGATTGCTTTCTGGAAACGTCGTGCTTTTGGAAGGACCATGCCCACTGTGCTAGCCATATTATGCACAGAGAGGTCCTCCCCCATGACAGCGATATTTGAGAGGGGTTCTAAAATTCCCAAGATTCCAAAGTTCCAATTCCAGCATTTGCCAATCCAGGAAGATAAGGGACTCCTGCAGGTGAGGAAAACACAGCACAGCACCAAGCCCATTCAACATCTCAGAAGGAAGTGATCCAACTGGCCCATTTATGCCTATGACCAACATGAGTACCCAAAACTAGCCTGGGTTTCGGCCAATGGCTCAAGGTACGCTCAGCCTTGTGTGGGCCATTCTGCCTTAACGACAATTGATTCAGTGAGGCCCCAACCAATTATGATGCATTGTGTCCCCACAGGAGTGGCAAAGTCAGGCAAGGCGATTGGAGCGATGTGCTTGTTTACAGGGGTAACAGGGGTGTCCAGCTTGATCAGCATGATGTCATCCTCAAGGGCCTCGGTGAAGCGTGGGCAGCTGCTGATGGTGGTGCCGGGAGAGTCAGGATAGCAGAAGGTGCCGACAGCTTCCCTCACCTGCTCATCCCCTCTTGTTTCTTCTATGTTGTGCAGTCCCAACCTTACCCAGAGTCTCTCCCTACAGAAAAGCCAGCAAGGGGTTCAGGGGTGACTCAAAGCAAGCAGCAGATAGGTAGGTGGACTACACTCTGGCTTGGGATGGTTATCTCTCCTGATCACTTCCCTGGAACCTCACTACTAAGAACAGCTGTCAATTACACACTACAGTGCGGTGGGCAGTCTTAAGCCCAGGAACCAGATCTGGCTAACAAGCGGTCCCACTCTGTTCCTCAGGGATTCTCGAGAAGGCCACCCTCTTTCATCCAACCCCAATTATTTTGGTGTTTCCTACTTTTGTGCATCCTCCCATTAAAAAGGCTGAAGTGCTTCTTCTCAGGGCCAGGCACTGGCAAGAGCAACATTCAGTTACAACATGCTGATATTGTTTGTTCCAAGCCTGTAGCTCACTCTTCCCCCTTTTGGTTTTGGGCCATCCCATCAATGAAATGGGAGCCTCCAGAATGTCTTTTTGCATACAGACTGCAGGCAGGAAAAGCTCCACCACTCCCATCATTGAAAGAGTTCAGCTTCACCTTCACTGCTCAAAACATGCCATGTGTTTGACCGTGCTCTCACGACTGCCTTCAGGTGGAAAGTCACAACATAATTGTTGACTCATGAAACTGGTAGTATTTTGCTTTCCTGTTCTGTGCTGGCCGCACATTTGTATTTGGAAAAGTGAAATGGAAATTTACTTGGATATAACTTTTCCATGTATAAAAGGCAAGTGCAGGCCACAGTGGGCGTTCCCTTCACATGTACTCCGTCGTTGCAAATGGTTGGGTAGCTGGTACCTGAAGGATTGTCCAAGAGCCGAAATTGGATTCAAACAGATTTGCTGGCACTGTATCATCCCTCACCTTTTGTAGCAATGAGCAGCACTGAGCACCCATTGTGGGTGGATCAGTGTGGCACCACAGTGGGATTATTTGTCGTTTGAGAGTAGAGCCATCCAAGGATGTGTATCCTTGGGGCATTCCTTGCCCCTAATAATCTGCATAGGGATTGCCAACACTGCAATGCAGACCAAGACAATGAAAGAGACAGAGAGAAATAAGTGCAATGCAGCTTTCCTTCTTGCAGTTGCAGGTGGAAAAGGATACATGTCAACTTTGCACCCCATTCACCATCCCCACCTCAGGTTGCTGCTACATTGCACTGAAATGCTGGTCCTTACCCAAAGAAGGCTGCAGCAACAGAACAAGCGCCACTAATTTGGCAGGTCCCATGGTGGTAGCTTGGCCTGGTGAGAGGCTCCTCTGTGCTTTAGAAGTGGGAGATAAGTTCAAGGTTAAGCGACCCACTGCTCCCTTTTTATTTATGCTCCGAAGTCCATCCGCAGGTGCTCCAAAGGTGCCAGATTCTCACCATTCCACACCTGGTTCAACCTGGTTCCATTGATCCAATCCCAAATATATGCTCTCTTAATACTTTGAAAATAAAGGTAGATAGATTCTTCCCTGTTCCCAAGATAGCTCAGAATAATTAATGTGATTGTAGGGTGATTTGAGAAGGAAGGACTCCCTGGAGAAGCGCCTAATGCTGGGAACAATAGATGGCAAAAGAAGAAGGGGAGGCAGAGGATGAGGTGGCTGGATGGAGTCACTGAAGCAGTTGGTGTGAGCTTAAGTGGACTCTGGGAGATGGTGGAGGGCAGGAAGGCCTGGAGGAATGTTGTCCATGGGGTTGTGATGGGTCGGACACGATTTCGTGACTAACAACAACAACAGGGTGATTAGTTCACCAGTTCAGCCAGTTGCACAGAATATTGGATAACAGGAAAATAATATTCCATTGGACATTCATTGAAATTGTGCAAGCTTTTCTTCTCTATGAGAACTCCATTTCTAACCATTTCTTCATAATTGTCTGTGACTTTTGTAGTGATTTCTTATAGTTCTTTTCTGGGTTTGGCTCTAAATCCTACACAATTCAGGATTCCCAGATATTTTCTTATTACAGATATATGCTGTACAGTAAATTGTTAGACAGTTGCATCTTAATTTTCTAATAAATTAAATCCATCCTAAACAGTTTTTGGAAAATTATCTTTATTACCTGAAATATCCGAAGAAGCATGAAAATGATGAAAGAAGGAAAAGGCAAACCTACCCATCCTTGCTTTAAAGAGGAAATTACCAAACTATCTCTATAAAGTAAAACCTTAGACCTTTTACGCAGGGGAGAAAGTATAGCCCTTTACAAGAAGCTTCCCCTCTAATAGCAGGAGCTAAAGTCTCCATAAACATACCAAATGAAACTGAAGAGAAGTGATGAACCCTGTCTTGTGTCCATAATTAGATCCAAAGTAACCGATAAAGATCCACTTGATGCTATTCTTACTACTAAACTCATTAACACATTGTCCAAATGTTATATTGCTATAAGTAGCCATTCAACTCTATCAAACACTTTTTCATTATGCATGAATAATAATGCTCCTAGGTTCTGATAGACTTACATTTTAGGAATTAAATTAATGGTTTTCCTTACCCTGTATGCCAGCTTCCATTTTTAAAATAATCCCTTATTGATCCATATGTCTATAATTCTTGAATCCTTTATTGATTAGACAAAGGAAGCAACAGTGAACACAAAAGGCTTAAACCTGGGGGGAAGGGGGCAGAGATGTCAGTCCTGCCTCAGGTTCTACTGCAGGGATACTTGCAGGAGGACAGAGTATGTGGGAAGGGGATGGAGCAAAAAACCCACAGAGAGCCCAGCCATTTCTTGCTTGATGGTTTGCCAATGCAATAGCCAACCCACCATTCCCAGAGTAGTTTGTCATGCCATGCAAACACACCCAATTTGTAGTTCAATCCCACTTGCCTCCACACCTCTGGAGCAGCATGTGGAAAAGTATAGTTGCATCTCATTTCCATTGAAAGAAGTTGATAAGCTGAAACCTGGTGCTCCTCATCTTTAAGAGGTCACATAAAATATCACTGTATGATCACTTGGCCTGATGGCTTTATCTGATGGTCCTTGAACTATGAGCTTTTCAAAAAGTACCATATCAACAGGCTGATCTGGGAACAGTTACCTTTTTAGAATAAGGTTTATTCATGATCATTTCTTTCCTTGTAGATTGGCATCTCACAAACTCTCAAATTCTTCCCAAGGCTGCTTCTCAAAGTCACCTTATGAGTAAGGCATAACACTTTTTTATGTAATGTATTATTGGGTTCCTGGGATGCCTTACACAAGGCCATCCTCCTCCAGGGCCTTTCCCAAGGGTTCGGGCTATTTTCTTGGCTTTTTTAGCATGAGGAAAGTCTGGTATTTTCCTAGATGGTGCCACCATTTGCTCTAGGAACCCCATTAATTTTTGTCATTCTGTGCTATACTGCAGTGTGACCTTGTGTTTTGTAGTGAAACTTAAAAGGACATACAGAAAGGCAGAGCGGAAATCCCTCAGGAACAAACCAGTATAAGAAGGATGCGCTAATCTTCTGGGAAGGAATCCTCAGTAAATCGCCAGGTAATATTCCTCCTGTAGAGTCCAAATGGACCTCTGGTGTGTTGAGCTCCTGCAGAAAGCTTGAGGTCAGAACAGGAAGGCCCCTGAGAGCTTCTGGCATTCAGATCTATTGCCTGAGATGTTCAACACTTTGAACTACTGATCCAAAATCTTCATTCATGGCACTAGAAGGAAACTCTTTGGCTCAACTTTTCCTGGTATTTAGCAAACAAGTTCTTCATGATGAGATCCTATGCATTCCTACTAAGGAATTGGATTCTTGAATCCTATTGGATTCAGTGGGGCATACTCCCAGGTCAATTGGTATGGGATGGTAGTCTAAGTAACAGAATCCTTTCTGGATGAAAGGGACAGCAGCTAGAGTTGCAATTCCAAACACACTGATGTGGGAGAGAGTCCCGTTGAACTTAGGGGGACCAATTTCTGAGATTGTATTGCATTTCTCATTTATTCAAAGGGAACTAAGAAAAACATCCTAAAAATTAACGGATGTTACACAGAGGCCTAATAAACACACATGCCCACTGCCAAAACTGCCTAACACCTGAAGTCATGTCGGCAACCCTAGGGGGGCTTACAAGTTCCACTTACCATGTTGGGACGAGTGTTGCATATGAATCAAGCCAGGTCCATTGAACCCCTTTCAGCTCAAGGGATGAATTCAATTTGGAGAAGCTCTCAGTGGAGGGGGTTGAAAGGCAAAAGAGAAACTTTCCAAAATTGTATATTTTAAATTAAAGTTCTTCCTGCCACTAAGTCTTTAGAGAAGGATCTCACTCTCTTGGACTGCTAGTAGGGGGAGCAGAGAGGAATGTGCGGGAATGTGCACAACTTTCAAAGTGAGGAACCCCAAATTATAGGGGTTTAAGGGAAAGGAGGTGGGGAGCGAGAACCATCTGGGGAGTCCAAATCTGCTGCAAGACTCCTGAGCGAAGCCTTCCCCTTCATGAGGGAACTTCCTAAGAAAAGGGTGGCCCCTGCTTCATTATACAGAAGGTGATGAATCAACCATTCTTTGTTTACCAAGCTTTTCATTCTTCAAGGTAAGACCAAGCCCCACACAGAAGGGAAGAGGCACTGTTTTACATTCATTTGTGTGCACTGCCAAGCAGGTGTGATAGAAAAACAAGTGGTCGATGCTTCTGTTATAGCATTCGAGAAATGCTGAAGCCTCTTTTATTTTTAGTTTGATCATTGGCTTTTAGAAAAGACCACATACAGCCCATCCCAGAATCCCAAGATTCTAGTGCATAGGGTGAAAACAGCCATCTTCAAATTACTGTTATGAAACAGGACATCCCATGCCTATCCTCCTCTGGGAAGAGATCCCTTCTCAGGCATTGAGGAAAACATGCATCCTGCCAGGAATTGAGGATGCAATAATGTTGTGTCATTTGTGCACATGTTGCCCAGAAGAAGTTTCATTATGTCCCATGACATTTACTGTCAGGAAAAAGAGTGCCGAGATTGAGATCTAAGATGTGAGAAAAGTGACATTGGCTCTCGCATGTGTGTTTTGGCCTCCGCTCCTATTAAGATGACTCAGGAGATTTCTCTTACTAATCCAACCTTGGAGCAATGAGGACTGCTTGTAATTGGACCAGTAATCCCCCAGATCCAGTTGAGAAAGTTGAAGACCCTGGTATAATCCCCGGGCTGCAGTGATTTGCCACAGAGTTTGGCAAACAGATTTGCCGGAAGAATGGCTACCAAACTGCAAGAGCAGAGCTTGGGTGCGTCTTGCACTGGTCCTTCAGAGGTGGGGGTCCCAATAAAGGTTCATGGCCAAGAATCTGGACTTGTATGGGGGTGAGCCCAATGCAGAGGAAGAGCAGCATTGGTTCAGGAGTGGCATGCTGAAAATGAGGATGAGGCTGTAGCCCTGGCAGAGGACTACAAGTTTCTGTATCCTGAGCCGGGCAGACAACCCTTCCCAGAGAGGGCAAGGCAGAGGGCTTCAGCCAGGTCTTGGCTCCGCTGAAACCTCCAGGTCAGCCAACCGGGATTGGATATCAGTAAGTTTTTTGGCTCTGGCCTCTTGGTGGAGCATCAGAGGCACAGGATGGGAGAGAGCACGGAGTGACCAGGGGACTGGCAAAGGCAAGGTAGGAGCTGGGCAGCGGAGCCCAGCTCCTACCTCCATTTTTGAGACCTCATGGAGAACGGGTGAAGTTCCAGAGGACTGGAGGGTGACATCAGTGGTCCCAATTTTCAAAAAGGGTAGTAGAAAGGACATGGGGAATTATAGACTGGTTAGTCTTACATCCATTGTAGGAAAAACAATGGAAAGGCTTATAATAGAGAGAGATCTAGTGATGCTAGGTAGGGAAGGGAGGCTGACAGCCACACAACATGGCTTCCACAAAAACAGGTCCTGCCAGACAAACCTTGTGGAATTCTATGATAAGGTTTTGCGATGGCTAGATGGAGGGGATGCAGTGGATGTGGTATGCCTGGATTTCAGCAAGGCCTTTGGCAAAGTGCCCCATGATATCCTGGTGGAGAAACTGAGGAGTTTTAGGATACACCAAAGCACTGTCTGGTGGATTTGGGCATGGTTGACTGACCGAAAGCAGAAGGTAACCATTAATGGGGAATCATCGGGATGGTGGCCAGTGACAAGCAGGGTCCCCCAGGGCTCTGTCCTGGGGCCGATCCTGTTTAATCTTTTCATTAAAGACATGGAAGAAGGGATGAACAGTCTGCTGATCAAATTCGCAGACGACACTAAAACTGGAGCAGTGGCCACAACTGAGGAGCAGGTACTCCAGATCCAAAAGGATCTGCACAGACTATGGAAGTGGGCAGGAGACAACAGGAAGGCGTTCAGTGTGGATAAGTGCAAGGTCTTGCACTTGGGGCATAGGAATAGCTGTCATAAGTACAGGTTAGGTGATA